CACACGCGCATCCGGTGTCTTCAACTCTGCGCTACCGATGTCAGATTCGCCTCTTCGTGGCAGCGTCGAAGACCTCCCCACCACACCCGCCGATACCGACGAGCCAGAGGTACTCTTCCTGGCAGCCAGTCTCTTCGAGTTCAACATTGCGCACGATCGCCGCGAAGGCGGAATACCATACCTCGTGTATGTGCCTGGCGAGATATTCGATGTAATCGGCATGAAGGGTGAGCTATGGCTCGCGCGAAATCAAGACGACCAAACAAAGACAGTGGGATGGATTTGGGAAAAGCATTTTGCGCGCATTTTACCCGAAGATGCATAGATTGGCTAGCCAGTTTCATGAGCAGTTGGATTACAACGAGGATTCGGAATTTGCTTCCCTTTGGGTTTTGCGGGCGGCGTTTTCGGCGATTGTGTCACCTGACCCAACGGGCGTTTGTGTGTATCTGGGTGTGTTCCCAACCGCGTTCGACTTCTCTTTTTCGTATGTGATTCCCCCAAATCCCTCCTTCTCTCCTTGATACCTTCGAACGCCGAGAGTCCTTCTCTCTCTCTCTCTTTCTACATTCTGGCTTTCTTCGAATACGCAACATCTATGACTGCGGCTGCTAGGGGCGAGAGAGGCATTGCCGGCGTCTAAGCTTTGGTGTCTTTTTTATACCTACTTTCCTTGTATGTATTTACGAGAGAGATGATTTACAATACCTTTTGAGGGGCCGTCTTTGGGTTCAATCTGGCATGATTGATGTGTGGTTTGGCTATATTTGGCGACGATGTTTTGTTGCTTTGTTATTTTGGAGAGAGGGGTTGTTGCGCTAGTGTATGAATATGAATATTTGAGAGGGACTTTATGGATCTTGAATGAAGTGTTTGCATTGCAGTTGCTACTACTACTTCGGCGTTGACTGTCCGTGGCGAACCAGGCGGACTGAGCGTAGAACTCGGGTTGGCTTTCCAGTCTCTATTCCTCCATCTCCGAGCCACTTTCGGAATCATCGTCGCTACCTGATACCTCTTCATCATCGTCCTCGTCATCTTCTTCGCCCTCGAGACCATACGCATCCTGGAAGTCGGTGAGCTGCTTCATCTCGATCTTGAAGCCTGCGGCCTCAAAGTCTTTCTTGAGGCCCTGTACAGAATGGTTAGCTTTTTATTAAAACACAGAATCCAAGGACAGGTGGGAAACTTACGTCAGTCATGATACCACCACAGGTCACAACCAGATCCGTCTTCTCAGGCACAAACACACCCGACACAACCTCATTCAAAATGTTCCTCACGTCTTCCTCAGTCACCTTGCGCACCTCACGCAGCGCCCAAGCCTGCCAGTCCTTGCCCACACCACGCGTGACAGTATCGATAAAGGAACTCCTAGCCGCATCAACAACCGTAGCGCGCTCATCAACAAAGTCGCGAACGATACTTGAAATTGCGCCTTCCAACGCCAGCTTCTCAAACTTCTGCGTGCCGTCGCCGTACTCCTTGATGACCGTCTTGGCTTTGTTGTACGCAGCGAAGACGTTAGGCGATTTGGAGATGCGGAACTTGAGCAGTCCTGTTTCGGGGTCGCGGAAGAAGTTGCTGCCGTAGGCGAGGCCTGTGCCGCGGATTGATGTCCACATGGGGCCTTCGACGGCGTCGAGATAGGCGAGTGCGACCATGAGCGGTGGCAGCTGGGCGTGTGTGTAGCCTTTTGGTCCTTTGGATGTGAGGACTGCGAAGGAGGAGTCGATGGGCATGGGGATGATGTAGTGTGTACCGCCTGGATTACGACCGATATCTGAGAGGAGCGCGTTGCGGTCGTCGATTGGGTTTACGGTTGGCTCTGGACCGGGCTTGAAGGCTTCAGTGAGGTGTTTGAAGGTGGACACTGGGTTTGGTAGGGTCTCAAGGTTGGCGGTAACGAGGACGCGCATATTGGAGAAAGTTAGGAGGTGCTTGCGTAGGGCTTCGAGTTTATCAAGGACCTGCTGAGGCTCCGTCTTGAGTAGCTTCAGGATGCGCTTGAGGTAGAGACCCTTGACAAGCGTACCAGTCGCGCGAACAGCTGATGCGGCATTGTAGTGGATCATGCGGTCGACTGCAAAGCTCATGGAATTACCATCTCGCTTCTCTTCGGGCACGTCCGCGAGCATCTTCTTGACTGCAGAAATCACGCGTTCGGTGTCGAACACGGAGTCGACTAGCATCGACCTCAGCCATAGCACAACAGTTTCGAACTTGTCGGCCTCCGCAATGAAAGGGATGTAGATCATTTCAGAGCTTCCAATATCGGTACCACGGTCCATGGAGTACTCAATAGTATCCTGCTCAAGCTTGGTAATGACCTCCTCGAACTCGATACGCTTTCCGTCCTTCATGATCGGAGTCGCGAAGAAGTTGGTTAGATATACGCCGAGGAGAGGCTTGAGTTCCGTTGGTAGCGAGGCAGTTCCAAGTGCTAAGCCGAAGTGTACGAACGAAGTTGGTATGTGTTCAAAGTGGATAAAGAGGGGGAGGCCGTTTTCATCTTTGTCGACAATCTTCTGGATGTTGTTCTCAGAAGTTCCTAGCTTCCTTGCTACACCAGAACGCGCTGTTGTAGTCTCGAAGAAGTGGATAGACTCAGTACTGGGAACATGGACACTGGCGATAATCTCCTCTGGGATAGGCTTGTCGTTTTCGTCTTGGGCTTCCTTGAGCTTCTGTGCCAAATTTTTCAGGCCTTCTTCGCCTAGCTTCTCTTGCTGTGCCTTGACACGTGCAACCTCATCTGCTTTGATCTTGTCTGATAACGCCTTAGAAGGTTTACCTAGGATCGAAACGTGGTGAGCATCCACCATCCATTTGTTCAGATATGCTCGCCACTCTTCCTCAGTCCACTTGTCAAGTGTGTCGAATACATCCAGAGTGGCCATTGCATCTTCAAGGTGAGTACCATTCCGGTCACCAAATACATGATCTTTGATGATTGGGTCTTTGTACTCATCCATGCCAATCTCAGACATGTATCGAGTTTGGCGCTTGAAGCGATGAAGACAGTCCTTGAGGTAGCTCATATCAAAGGGCTTGGAAGCGTGTTCTTTGAGAACCTCGAAGAAACGCTTCTCGGCATCAGCCAGCTTGTCAGTCTCCACAGACGATAGAGTCCACCAGATGATCATGTCGGTGTGTCCCTTGCACCAGAAGTATACCATACTGGCAAGGTGTTCCTTCTCGACAAGTGTGTTAACTAGAACCGAAACAGATGATCCGGCAAGGTAGTTGAGCAGTGTGTTGATGGCAGTCTCTCCAAGGTCGTCGATAGTCTCGGGCCCTAGGAAGGCGATTTGCACCTCACCTGTTGACTCGTCTTCTTCTGGGAACTCGACTGTGTCAACGATGGTCTTGCTCAGGGGTGGAGTGCGCTTAGATTCGACCCATGGACGCTTGAAGGGCGCATCGTAAGCCGGTACGCGGTCGATGATCTCGTCTTCGAATTTATCCAGTATGTCCAACAGGTTTGGATGATCGACCTCTCCAATCAATATGACTCGTAGATTCTTGGGCTGATACATGTCTCGGTGGAACTGGCGAATACGCTCCGCAGTGGAGACTCGTAGGTTCTCCATCAATCCACCCGTCTCCATACGAAAGCCATCGCCTTCAGGGTAGAGAAGGCGACGCATCTGGAGATCCATGAGATCGCCCTGCAGGTTCTGACGTCCTTGCATCTCAGAGTAGACAACACTTGGGTCGTTAGCTAGGAGCATGGAGGCGTTGAAAGATACTCACCCTGCATCCTCTCCCTTGCCATCGATGTGATGAACCTCAGTGTAACAACCGGCATCGGTCAGCGTAGGGACGATGAGGTGGTCTAGATAGATAGGTAGCAGCTGTGCAAAACCCTCCCAACCCGCGGTTGAGAGAGTGTAGACTGTCTCGGAGACATCCGTCCATGCGTTTGTGTCAGAGTACGATCGGGTGGCGATCTTGTCTAGTACGCCCTTGAAAGGGTATTTCCGCGAACCCATGAAGCAGAGATGCTCAAGGGTATGCGCTACGTCAGTCAGTAGAAGTATGTGAAACACGAGCCATGCCACTCACGTGCACCCGAATCATCGTGGATCTCCGTGGCTACCGCGAAATTCCCGTACACCTTGGGACCCTTTCGATCGACTACCACTACCCGAAGACCCGTCCGTTGGGATTCATACTGAGTGAATGTAGCGTCGGCGTAATTTGCCTCGAACTGCTGCAGCTTCTTGAAGTGCGACTCCTGCTGTATTGACCCCATGATGTCGAAGTTGAAGGAGAAAGGAATTGATAGCGTGAGATTGCAGGTGTACCCTTTGTTGGTGCTGAAGTCGCAGGCACTGGCCGCGTTGCCCGAATTGGTACTACCCTTGCTGTGTTAGCTGAATTGTTGTGCGTAGCCCAACGCACTATTATATAGGAAATTACGCTACCGATTCGATCGGGGTCTCTAAGAGAAAAGCAGGCTTAGGTTTCGGGGGCGTGCATTGCGCATACCCATGCTCTACAAGCCTACAAGCCGCGGCCAGTGATTATGCGGCTGAATCTGCAAGCCTACATACCAGCCCGGGTAACGGTGAGATGGCAGTAAAATGAAAATGACAAAGACTTACGAGAGGATGAGACAGAGTACAAGGAGCAGAAAGCCACTCCGAACAAGGAAGGAGGGAATGACGGAGGGCAATATGAGAGGCGAGTTGTCCGGTAGTAGTGCTGCGGCGCCGCTAAGATGCTGCTACCGCGGATTGACTAGATAAATCTGCGCCTAATGAATCTGCTGCGACCTGCGGTTGTCTCAAACGCACGTGTGCATGTGCCTGTTTCTTCAGCACAAGGGCTTGAGCGTGGCGGGGTAAGTGTGGCGGGGCAGCAACGCTGGAGTTGACGTCGCTTGGACGTCCGTGCAGCTTCAATGTTGGTCCTGCGACGTTGCGAACGCCCTGCGAACTATCCCGCCGCAATCCCTTTTTACAATCGACATGACAATCACCCCGTGATTAAAAATGCCTTCGCAAGTCTCGGACGAGCAGCTAGGCGACGCGCTGCTCCAATCAGCCGCGCATGGCGCGTTTCCCCAGGACCAGGATGTCGCGTCCGCAACTGTGCCTTCCAGCGCACTTCCAAAGCTGTTGGAGGTAGTCGCTAAAGCACGAGAAGAGACGAAGGTGTGTTGAAGTAGCGCGTGCTCCAGGCAACGCTGACCGTTGTTCCAGGACGAAGTACGCCAACTCTCGAGAGAAGCCGCACCCGACGTCGATGGCTGGATAGCACAGGCACGCAAGCTGCAAGACGATATCAAACGCTCGCAAGAAACGGCCAAAGAGATTGTAAAACAAGCAGAGGCAGGAAAGGAGAATACAGCCCGCGTACAGGATGCTGCAAGCAAGGTCAGCCTACTGCACACGGAAATTGCATACAACGAAAGCTTGGCACGTGCTGTAGAGCAGCTTCGAGACATCTCGACCCTGCTCGACTCTGCCCAAAATGCTGCTGTACATGGCCATGTTATGCATGCCATACAGACTTTGGAAGATGCCGATGGCGCATTCCAGGGACTTGGGCTGTTCACCACTACAAGAGCGGTGGGCGTGCTGAAGAACAAGGAGGAGCAGCTGAAGAAAGCGATCGTAGAGACGGTCACGGAGTCATGGACCGGGCTGATTGCAGTCGACAACACCAATCATAAAATCTCGCTGCACCAGTCGATCGAACGCGAGGCCAGAGTCGATATCAACACAACGGTTGAAGCGCTTACGAAGTTGGGTCTCCTTGACAGCTTCGTTACCCGCTTGAGCCGTGACCTGGACAAGATCATAATCGCTCCCCGACTGGCTATAGGCACCGACCGCGTTGTGTCCGCCTTCAACATCCAGGAAGATGTCATCCAACGTGCTGGCACGGTGAATGATGGTGCGGTCAAGGCTACCTTGGAGGATATGCACTTGCTTGCTGAGTACCTGAGCACGCGTCTACCGCCTAGCATCGCCGTTCCGCTGTCCTCAAAGATCGTTCCGATCCTTGCTTCTCGTTTAATTTCGAATCTGCTTTTGCCTGCCGTGCCATTATCAACAGACGGGATACCACATTTTCAAGAAACGCTCTCATATGTCTTGGGCTTTGTGGAGTATCTCGATGAGCTCGGCTGGTCAGGCCAAATTCGTCTAGCTGAATGGGTAGATAAGTCTGCCGAGATATGGCTTGCTAAACAGAAAGAGGATGCGATCGCTCGAGTACAAACGATGTTTCCGAAAAAGGTGCAAGAAAAGAAGACTGTTGAACGGGTCGAGACGCAAGTCATCTCAAAGGGTGATGCATTGCATGCTGGCAACGAACAAGAGGATGACTGGGCTGCTGATTGGGACGAGGAGGGTGATGTCGCAGAAGAGAAGAAGGAGACTATCGAAGAAGAAGATATGAGTGCTTGGGGTGAGGATGATGATGTGATTGGAGATGAACCCAAAGAGCAAGAAGCGAAAGAAAAGCCAGCTGATGCAGAGGATGCAGATGATTGGGGCGCTGATTGGGATGACGAGGCTGATACCAAACCCACCACAACGCCGAAGCCTGCAGCACATACAACAGAGCAACCGAATACGAACGGAAAACCTGCCTCTCAAAAACAGCCGGCGCACCAGGAGGTCACCCTTCGAGAGACATATACAGTGACAGCGATCCCAGATGCCATAATGGAGATAATCTTGCAGGTCATTGCAGAAGTAGACACGCTGAACTCACCCGAGCTGGTCAAGTCTGCAATCGCACCCGCGAGCGGGGGTCTATATGCGATTCCGAGCCTCCTGTTGGCAATGTACCGAGCTACTGCTGTGATGCATTACTCAAAAGATATCGCCAGTAACATGCTCATCTACAACGACTGCCAGCGACTATCGGATCGTCTGCGACTCTTTCTTCAAGAACAAGCTGAAAGAGATAAATTGTCTACATTGCCACAGCACTTGCGACCTTCCAAACGCCTCCAACCGCTGATCGAATCTGACATCAAGACGATCGACGGATTTGGAAAGCGTGCATACGGACGCGAGATGGAGTCACAAAGACAGATCATCCGGGATCATCTTGAAGATGCGCAAGGCTTCCAAGGCTGTACGAACGTTCCGTTCGCTACGGTCTGTGATGACGCCATCGCTACGACGATAGATCGCATAGGTGATGTGAAGCGACAGTGGCAGAATGTACTTTCACATAGCGCTCTACATCAGTCACTTGGCTCGTTGGTGTCAGCAGCTCTCACAAAGTTCATCAACGATGTCGAGGACATGTCAGATATTGCAGAAGATGAGTCGAGGAAGTTACACGGGTACTGTGTCTCGCTTGCTACTCTATCCCAACACTTCCAGACCGAGGATGGCAACGGAGAAACAAGAGACATGGCCGGTATCTACACGCCCAACTGGTTCAAGTTCCAGTATCTCAGCGAAATTCTGGACAGCAGCCTTGCGGATATCAAATACTTCTGGACGGACGGCGAGCTGAAGTTGGAGATGGAAGCTGAAGAGGTGATTGGATTGATCGAGGCTCTGTTTGCGCCTAGTGATCACCGGAGAAGAGCTATTGCTGAGATCAGGAGAACCAGTATGACTTAGTAAATGACAATCTTCGTGAAGGAAATAAGACAGCGATCTTCCTCTTGAGTGCATGCGTAGTGCTATATTGATAGATTGACCCCAGTTTCCAGTCATTCTTCTGAAACACCAAAAATCTATGCCCGACTATCATCTGACTTTGATACTTTTTAGATAGATTGAACTACTGAAGAGATATGATCTATAGTACCACGAGCGGAGGTTCACGAACGCCGACTGGCTGGCTGCTTCCGCGCTAACCGGATTCGAAAAAAAGTTCGAGATCCCAAAATTTCCTAAGCTTCGTAACTTCAACACCGATCAATATATACCGCCAAACCCGCCGACGCCATGGATATCGACGCCGCAGAGACCAAGGTGCAGATTCGCCTTACAACGCGCGATGCTGCTCTGCAGATTTCGGAAGAGCCGAACATCCTCTTGGTTCAAACATGTGAGTAGAACTATCAGAAGCCTAGTCGCAGGTCGCGCCCTCTAGCCACCTACTGCAGCATGATCGCGCAGAAATGCGAGCCATCGCGACTACGCTGCTGTGGTTTCAGGCTACCAAGCGCTGCGCAGTCCGTCTAGATACAGAGCTAACGCGGATGCGCCCACAGCTTTGACTCGACACAAGCTTTCCACACTTGTGAACGAACTCCTGCACCGCGATGACGGCAGTCGCATACCCTTTGACATCCTGATCAACGGCGAATTTCTCCGAACCACAATCGACGAATTCCTCACAAAAAATGGTATCAATGCCGAATCGACGCTGGACGTTGAATACACGAGGGCTTTGGTGCCACCGCTAAACGTCACGAGCTTCGAACACGACGACTGGGTTTCGGCCGTGGATGTCCTGTCAGGAGTGCAAAGTGGGCAAGAAAGGATATTGAGCGCGAGTTATGATGGACTGTTAAGAGTGTGGAATACCTCGGGCGATGTTTTGGCGACTTCAGAGGCTCCCAACAACGGTGGTCGAATTACAAGCTTGAAGACGGCTAAATGGTTGTCGGAGAAGAAGATGGTAGCTGCGGGGCTGGACAATACCGTGCGTGTCTACAAGTACGACGATGATGCGAGGACTATCACCACAGCTCTCGAGCTGTTCAACCACCGCTGGGGTGTAGAAGACGTCGCAGTCCATGCGCCTTCGAGTCGCATTCTCTCCGCCTCCTCGGATACCACTATCTCGCTGTTCTCGAGCAACGCAAAGGAGAACCCCGTCGCGCCAGCGAATTTCCTGCCCAGTTCAACGGCTGCGTCGAACAAGCGACAGAAGCTTTCAAAGCCCGATCGCACGGTCCCCGCTCGCGGAGCACTGGCTACATTCAGCGGTCACACTTCGCCGGTATCTAGCGTCATCTTCAAACCAGACGATGCTACAGTCGCATACTCGGCATCTCACGACCACACACTCAAAACTTGGGATCTGCCTACCCAGTCGTGCGTTGACACCCGAACGACCGGTCACTCGCTTCTCTCCCTATGCGCCATCCCCTCCCGAAACCTGCTTGCAACCGGTACCTCAGCACGACACATCACATTGGTCGACCCCCGCGCATCTGCCACGCAAATCAGTGTCATGACACTACGAGGCCACAAGAACGGTGTTGTTTCTTTGGACACAGATCCATCTTCCGAGTACAACCTGGCATCTGCTTCGCATGACGGAACCGTTCAGATTTGGGATCTCAGGAATGTCAGCACGGGCGGACAGGTCGGAGAAGGAATGACTGGTGAGAGTGTGTACACGATCTACAGGCAAGGACGCGAAAGTGCCAAGAGCCATGGCGAGGGCGCGAAGGTCTTCAGCGTAAGATGGGATAGTGCAGTGGGCATTGTCTCGGGTGGCGAGGATAAGAGGGTGCAGATTAACCGCGCTCTCGGCTCGTAAGAGTTGAAGGTTTTCGCTGGTAGAAGTGCCATTGTAAGGGTGTTTGGGCGCATATCGTAGATACCATTTTGGCTAGGGAAAAGTGTAGCTTCAATTCTTGAACGCGTTGCCCTCCATCGATGTTTCATTTGACTTGGGTGATGCTTCTGCAAGCGATACAGGCCGCAGAGACCTCAGATTCATGTGCAGCACAATGCTTTCCCCCGTATGTGGGTTAACGCAATCAAAAGGGTATCAAGTAACCGCTCCCACCGACCAGCTCCATTCCTCTTTCACGGTCATCGTTCTCCCCTGTTGGCGCATAGCATTCATACTGTGCCCACGGCATCATAGTGTTGTACACCCTCTTCAGCCCAAGTCTACGATAGACTTCCAGTCGCGCTTGTACTTGTTCGATAGACGCATCTTCCACTTGCACTCCGATGTCTAACCAAGAGACCTCATCTCAGTCGTCCCAACTCATACCAAATGTCCCGGCAACAAGAAATTCGCAACCCCCTCTTTAACCGCGTACTCGTGCTCACACGCCCCGCACACCAGCTTGCCCTCTTGTATACACGTCTCAAGCAATATCCTGTGCAGATCCTTCGCTGTCTGGCTAGGCTCCTCTTCTATCTCTTCCGTCGCGGCCGCTGGTGTCGCATCTGTGGTATCTAATGCTGAAGCGGAGGAAGAAGAAGGTTCGACGAGATCGGCGGGCGTGGGTGCTGTAGTGGGGAGTTCAGGAAGACCAAGCTATAATTCGCACATATGTCAGCTTGCTGTTCAAAAGTTTTGGAACATCTGTATCTCTCTGAGACGCAATGCGCATGGGCTTCGCGCCTGACGGGTGTATTTTCTTTCGCGTACCTCGCTGCATATCCCCCTCAATTCATCCCACATGATCCTTGGTAGTATGTTTTTGAGAAAGGCGAGGTTGACGTCTGCTTCTACGATTTCGAGTTCGGCATCGCGGGGGTGGAGGGGGAAGGACGCGGGGTTGGTTTTGCAGGTTTTGATGGCGCATGTGAGGAAGTTGAGGGTGAGGAGCTTCATTTTGTGGGTTTCGTTACAGGAGTCGGTTTGGATTCGGCGCTTTGGGGTTACGTAGGTTTGTTGTGGAATGCGTGGTTTTGGCGGACACGTTCGGGGTTGGACGCTTTGCGACAAATAATTTTTGGCCGCGGGAACGTTGTCTCCCAGTCCCAGCCCTGTGGAGCCAATCAGAGTCTCGTCGGCAAGGGGTCTTTCCCGGTTAGGCAGGTATGCGAAAACCATTGATCGCCGCAGGGAGGGCACTGTGGAGACCGCCGGCCCTGTGGGCGAGGCCCTGATTGGCCCTACGGGGGGACCTTCCCGATCAGGCAACTATGCAAAGACTATCGATCGCGGGAGGGAGGGAGGGCAGCGGGAGCAGCGAGAGCAGCGAGAGCAGCGAGAGCAGTGAGGGCAGTGAGGGCAGTGAGGGCAGTGTGGATCTCTCTGTCCCTGTCGTGCCAATCAAAGCCTTGTCCACAGGGACGGCTTTCCTTGTTAGGCAACTATGACAGATCCATCGATTGCGGCAGGGAGGGCACTGTGGAGACCCAGCTCCCTGTAGGCCCAATCAAAGCTGTTAGGTAGGGTCAGAGACGCTAATGCAGGGCTCTGGATTTAACGTCCGTCATGCCGCTTTCCCACTGCTTCGATGAGAGATTCGCGGTTTGTTTACTCTTCGCCTGTACTGTAAATCTTCGAGAATCCAATTCGCTTTTGTCGCAGTTAAGCTCGTAGGATGGTGATTGCAATGCTTGCACCATCTCTGTATAGCCTTGCGACCCAACAGCAAACATCCAGCCTACCACTTGCCCACATCCTCCAACACCAGATCCGTCGCCCGCTCACTCAACAAAAACGTGCTAACCGCCGGGAACGCACCCGGACATCTAGGAAATGCACTCGCATCTATCACCCGCAGCCCTTCGACCCCTCTGACCCTCAACCTCGTGTCCAACACAGCCATAGGATCAGAATCCGGGCCGACCTTGTTCGTGCTTGTGGGATGGTGACCAAAGACTTGGTCGTGAATCCACTCCCTATCGATCTGCACGTCACGGCAGTAGCCCGTCTCGAGGATATCAGCAGGCGGACAGGGTGGAGAGACGGGCGTTACAGGGCCGACCGGTGCTTCTGTGGAAGCAAATGCTCTACGGACGAAAGCGACGGTGTCAAGCATGGCGTTTAAATCTGTTTCTGCACCCTCGACGAAGTAGTTCATATTCACTTCTGGTGTGTCCACCGGGTCGGCTGATCGGATTTGGACGTATCCAGCAGTGTTCTGGGGATGAATTTTGACGGTGGACCACGAGAATGTTGTAGGAGGGTAGCGTGTGGTATTTTGAGACGTCGGTGGCGCAAAGCCTGTAAAGGAGCCACCCGTGAAGCCGAACATTAGCTCGTCTCTTTCGCCTTCGACCGCATGGGCTGTCTTGAGGAGGAACGCGTTTGAGTTTGTGCCGCCGCGCGCGTAGGGTCCTTGGCCATTGTACCAAAGTTCGATACATGGATCGCCGGGTGATCCGTTTGTGCATTTCGGTGCATTGGGATCAGGTGTCTTTGCGAAGCTGATTTGGGCGTTCCCGTAAATGGGTACCTCGTAGTTGTCCTGTAGGTTGCGGCCCACACCTGGTAAGTCGGAGATTACGGGGATGTTGTACTTTTCGAGAAGGCTTTTGGGTCCGATGCCAGAGAGCTGTAGGATCTGCGGCGAGTTGAAGGCACCACCAGCTACGATAACTTCTTTTCGGGCGAAAGCCTGGTGCAGCGTACCAGTGGTGGAAGAGTTACGACGTGGGTCGGCCTTGTATACGGATTTGCCTTGCAAGTATTCGACTCCAATGGCTCGCGGCTTCGTGCCATTGCCACTGCATTCATCGAATAGTACCTTTGTGGTCAGAGACTCGAGCTGGAGATGTAGCGGGTACATCAGCGTTCCATTCGAATTCGTCAGATTGCGCATTTCCAGGATACGGTCGCGTGGGCTGAAGCGCTTCCAGTTGGGTGTGACATGGAATGGCAGAGACGACAGACCCTCTGTGTCACATGACTATGGATGGTCTGTGCCGGGTTGTATATAGCCCTTACCTTCTCCTAGATTAGTTAGGTAGACCTTATATACAATTTACATCTATTTATACTTTATAGTTAGTAGCTATAACTTAAATAATCTTGTCTCTAGTCTTACTATACAACCTAGTAGTGTAGTTAGAAATAGAACGCTCTAAAGTCTATTTTAAGCAGATAGTTTTATTACTACTAGAGTTACTACTTATAACTATACCTTACTTACAATACTATTAGCTTATAGAAGACATTCTTAAGTAACTATTAAGTCTAGTAACCTATATTCTCTACAATATAGATAACGCGTATACTACCTTTAACTATTACTAGCTCTAGCCTACGTTAGAACTTCTGCATCTATATAATATATTCTACTTACGTCTATACTAGGCTTATTAGGTTATTACTAAAGAAGCCTTTAATAGTATCTTACTCTGTAAAGAAGCGCTACACTATAACTAGTATATTTTTATTATATTTATAATCTCTAAGCCTACCTTCTACTAGAAGTTATACTCTTACTTTTTTAATTAGACGTTGCTTTCTACAAGAACTATCTATCTATCTTATTAGGCTCTAGTTATTTCTATAAATAGCTATCTACGCTTTCTATAGTAAGCCTAATCTTAAATAACTATTTCTAATAATACGCTACTTCTAATAAATTAACACGTTACTACTTATTCTCTTTATACCTAGTAAGGTAATAGCGTATTAGAATATTTTTACCTTCTCTAATCTTATTACTAGGTTTAAAACTATAACTAATACTCTACTTAGTCTCTTTCTTCTAAATACATATCTAATTCTATTATCTTCTAATTAAATCTATACGTACACTAATTCTCTACTACTACTACCTATACTAAGGTATAAGAGCTCTTCTACTACTACCTTTTTATAGTATAACTAACTATATATTACTCTATCTTACCTAAGCCTTTATACTAGAGTATTACGCTCTTAGATAAGCCTACTATAAAGCGCCTAGAACTACCTTTATATTCTAAGGTCTACTAGTTCTAGCTTAAGTAGTAGTTATCTACGCTTATAATATTATTACTTTTACTAATAGTTCTCTCTAATACACTACTTTTATCTCTCTTTTAGTGCTTAAGACTATATAAGCTATTCTTAAAACTTATAGTACTTTAACTCTCTTTAAGAGTAGGTAATAGTAAGGTATAACTCTTTTTAGTAAAAGTACTTATTTTCTCTCTTTTTTACGCTAGCCTTTTTTAGAAGCTAACCTAGCACTTAGATACTTTTATACCTAGGTTACTACTACTAAAGAGTTATTCTCTTTATAAAAGAACGTGCTCTAAGTAATTAGTACCTTCTAGACTAACACTATAGGCTTTTGCGCCTTTTAAACCTTTACTAACTAGAAATCTACCTAATTATCTACTAGTTATATACTATCTTAAGACTTAGTTAATTAGCTACTACTCTTATAGACCTATTTCTAGATCTTTACCTACTTTTATACTACTATATAAGTATTATTAAACGCTATTCTAGCTATAGTTTCTCTACCTTATAGCCTATTACTACGTTCTAAGGTTCTCTCTAGTAGTTATCTAGCTATACTTATATAGTTATTATTTTCTTCTCTTACGCTCTTACTTCTACTAGAATTAGCCTCTATTACTACCTCTCTAAGCAGCTCTACTCTTTTATATATATTCTTTACTTCTATAAACTCTTTTATTAAGCTACCTCTATTACTTTTCTATTAGAAGACCTCTTATATTAATAGTAATAAGTTTTAGAACTTACTATTATTAACTTTATTAAGGTAAGCTTTATTATAAGTCTTACCTTTATAAAAAGATAATAGCTCTACTAAGTTAGTTACTAAAACTATTATATAGAGGTAGAATAGTAACTTTTTTAAAAGTATTATAGTATCTATAAAGCTCTTAATAAAGTAATAATAGAAGAGATATAATAAGAGAGCCTAGTAGAATAAGAAGTAAAATATATCTAATAATCTAGAATACTCTAAAGTTTCTATAGATTAGCGTCTCTAACCTAAAGATAAGGTAGTATCTACTAACTCTCTTATATTATAGAACGCTTTTTTAGTAAATCTTTACCTTATAAACTTTACTCTTTATACTACTATTACGCTATAGCTTACTAGAGTCTCTACTACACTTTAGATTTTAGGCTCTTTATAGTCTTCTTTACTACTAGGTCTAACTAATATAAGGCTATATATTCTACTTATATAGATAGTAGACTATATAGAACTACGCTAGAATTCTCTACTATCTATACTTATCTATAACCTTAGACTACACGCCTCTACCTATAGTTTAGGTACCTAGAACTCTAGTAATATATAGTATTTAGCTTAGAATTCTAGGCCTAACTTCTAGTAACTACTAGAAGTACTTTTGTAGCTATCTAACTATTCTTCTACTTAGTAGAAGTTTACTCTAAATAATAGTAACGTAAATACCTTAATTACTAAACGCTTTCTTAATCTAGTAGATATATTATAAGGCTATTAGCTCTATATACTAACTAGGTAACCTTTCTATATAGTATATTATTCTACTAGAGAAGATTATAATAGCTATATTATAGGTAGAGTAGAGCTAGCGTAACTCTTAACTAACTAGGTACCTTTATAATAGCTCTATTACTAAGCTAACTACACTAAACCTAGTAACTACCTTTATAATAATAGTTTTAAGTAAAACCTATAGCACTATTAGTCTTACTAGCCTACTTATAGTAAGAGCGCTAGGCCTATACGTAGCTATTAAACGTTTTTTTATAATAGTACCTATAGACTATACGCGCTATTATATTATTATTAGATAGACTAGGCTCTTATCTCTAAAGAGAATAAGATTACTAAAGATAATATAAGAGTTACTATAATAGAAAGCTCTCTACGTTTCTACCTAGAGCGCATTAGCTACTTCTAGCCTAAGATACTAGAATATAAGTATCTAGATAAAACCTCTAAGATAGCTAGTAAGACTAACTTCTATAATATCTAGAACTTTATTAACACTATAAAGATAGCTATTATATCTAGAATAGTAGCTACGTATATAGTTTAATATAACCTCTAGTAGTACTTTAAAGGTACTACTACTTAGTAGTACTTCTTTAATCTTAATCTTGCCTACTATAAGAATATTATTAAAAGTAATAGAATTAACTAATAGAAAGTTAAGCTTATATATTTTTATATCTAGCTAGCTATTATAATAAGAAAGCTTTAGAAAAAGCGCTTTATACTCTAGAACCTTATAAATAGATACTTTCTCTCTAAGTAGTTTCTATAAGTTAAGCGTTTAGCTTAGAATACTAGGTATAGAAATAAGAATAACTACTAATACGTTCTCTAAGTATAGAACCTACTTAACGCTTAGATCTAGGTCTATCTTTAGAATAATATTAGTATAATAAGCTCTAATAAGTTTCTTCTTATAATCTAAGACTAAAAGTATATTCTTATTAATATCTTCTACGTAGAATATAACTCTAGTAAGTAAGCTCTCTATTATTACTCTAAGAGTTAGAGTTATAGTAGCTTAGATTATCTAACACGCAACGCACCTAATTAGAAGCGTTACTAGTTACGTAACTCTACTCTATCTAGCTTAGATCTCTACTTTAATAACTTTACTTACTATAACTATAGTAGCACTTCTAATTAGAATATATAGTAAAACGTAAATAACTCTTCTTAGATAAATAACTAGAGTAGCTAGCAAAGCACGTCTAAATTACAGAACTAGTAGTCTTATAAAGAAAGTTTTACTCTAGTATTCTAGGTAAATAATAGTATCTACGCAAGAACCTAGTAGCTTAGTATAACATTATAGCTATATAGTAAGGTATAGAAAGTATACTATAACTATAACTCTACTCTTACCTAGAATATATACTTTTTAGCTTTAGGCTACTCTACTATACTAACACTACCTTCTCTTATATTATCTATATCTACTCTATTCTCTATACTTAAGAAAATAACTACTACGCATAAGTACGTTTTGCTAGACTTCTATCTTTCTATAGACTCTAGCTATTTTACTACTAAAAATAGTTTTCTACTTAATAATAACTCTAATAATTATAACTCTTCTAGCTAGACTCTATAGAATAATAAGAACTTTATCTATATATAAGATTTTAATAAAGACAAAGACGTGTACTATATACTACTCTTACTTACCTATTCTACTTAGTAGACTACTATAGAACTCTACTAGTTTTACTATTATAAGTATAGTATAAATCTAGTTTCTAATAACTAGTTACACTTATATATTTAAAGCTACTATCTCTTAGACTCTAGTAATAATTATTACCTTAGTATCTATATAGTTACTATAGATACTAACCTATAGCTACCTTTAATTTTACTTATACTAACAAACTAGATAGCTATAGATTCTACTACGCCTACGCGCACTTAACTTATAAAGTCTTTAGCTTTACCTCTAGTAGATAAAGGTTTTACTATATAAAACTAGTATTAAATAAAGATAACTATACGCTCTAGCTAAGAAAGCTTTAATCTAGAAGTATATCTAGATACTAGAGCTAGTATTACGCTTATAGATAAGTTCTTTATTTAAAAGAATTTCTCTAAAGCTATCTAGAAAGTTCTCTAGAAACTAATCTACTATACGTACGCTAGGCTAAAAAAGATAATAGTAATAGAGATTGCCTATATTACGCTCTATATCTCTTTCTATACTAACTCTAGTAAGTAAGTTCTTACACTATAGAAAGTTTAGACATGTATTATTAACTACCTTACGCCTAATATACTTCTTAGTATAGACACGCTAGTACCTTAATAGGTTATTTTTAATCTTAAAGTCTATACTATATAATAACCTTACTATAAGAGTATAACTA